TCTCAGACGACTACAACAACGTGGCAAGGACGGCTGCTGGTGGCACCGCTTGTCATCCCACGTGTCACTCGCCCTAATCTCCAGCCCAAACCGTACGGACTAATTTCCATTTACAAGATCACTTAAAAACCCATTCCCTGGCTTCAGCGGGCAGGATGAGTTGTGCGCTTGCCTGATGGATGGCAGGGGGTGAGAAGCCAACCGCTCACGCTCCCGGAAACCGCTCCCGGGAAAGGCCGGCGAAGAACGGAGGAATCCGCACTGACTGCGCGTCCCCGAGCTCTGTTAACAGAGGGACCTGGGGACATGCCCCCCATATCCGTAACACGCGATGAATAGGGCCAGCACCCCGAGCTTGACCTTCTGGGCCCCGTAGGACCTGCACGGTGAGCAGGCAGCATTCCAGTGAGCACTCCCCACCTGCCAGGCCCATCTGCTACAAGTGCGCTGGCAGCCAGAAGTCACAAATTATAACCCACAGGATTCCTAAAAAGTGCCAGCAGCCCCGGGGAGGGGGGCGGGCGAAGGAGGGGTTGGAATAGGCCTTGCCTTCCTCGGGGCAGGTATGTGACGAGGCTTCCGCTATAAAAATCCGATTGGCTTAGACGTACGGTCCGCATACAAGAAGTTTAGGAAAACCTCAATAAATCATGAAAATGTGAAAGCATGCAATTAACCGGAACCAGAAACTTGACTTAAGGGGTCCTCTGAAGGCATTTTCTGAAGGCGATGGAAAGACAGTAAATAATAACCAATCAATAACTAATTTCAACCATGCCGCACTGATCTGTAAGTAATCTATCTCTTTGTGACTATGCACTGCGATTTCCGGCGAGGACTTCGAAGCGCCGGCTCACGAGAGGCCGGCAGGTCAGGGAGGCCCCGCCCCTCCCTCCCATCCCCTGACGGCGGCCGGGAAACTGAGGCCCTCGCCTGCCACGTGAGGAGCTGTCACTCCGGGCCGAGCTGACGGAAGGCCCCAGAGATCCTGCCAGGTTTGGGAATTCTCTTTCTCAGGAAAGATAAGAGTCTGCTCGGGGAAGCGAGGCAGAGGCAGGATGCACTGGGAAGGGGATGGCAAGACACAGAACTTCTTTTGCAAAGCGACCGGGGCCAGGTCTCCGCAGGCTAGACAGACACGCTGCTCAGTCCAGGGCTGATGTGCTCGTCACCAATGAGCAGTCAGACAGACCTGAAGCAACAGCCCATTTCAATGCCTGGCGAGAAAAGAATAAAACTTGCCTCTACTGACAGGAAGGTACGGAGGTGTCGGAAACGGCACTGCGCCCCACCCCCGCCCTCACCAATGCCACAGGCAGTGACTCCGCGCCACCCAGGAACAGTGGTGTCAACGCTCCCACTTGCACAGGCAGGTACGTACATTGTGCCCTTAAAGATGAAGCCCCAACAAACAAATGGCATCTTACTGGGCATACGTATTTTACGTTATACGCGGCGAACACCTCTCCCAATTGGGTACGGTGGCGCTTAATTGTTGCATCCCATGCAGAGCACAGCCACCCATGGGATCTAGTATTAGTCATTCATCAGATGAAACATTTTGGAAGAAACAAAGTGCTATCTTTTCCCCTCGAAGAACAGCAAGGATTTTTAAACACATTTTTTTTTTCTCAGAGATTTTATGCTGAGGCAAACAGCTGAGAAATGTTACTTTAAACAACTCCGTTCCTCTGGCTACCAACAGCGAGATGAAGGGGGACCAATGCGTGGCTCTGTGCCTTCCGAGGCTCCCTGTGTCCACCTGTCGAGGGCCGCCTGGACCCCGCCGGCCCAGGGGGCGGCCTCCGGAGGAGCCGGGGAATGCGCCACCCTGCACGGGCGCCCTCTGCACTGCCCGCCAGCATCCTCATTAGGGATTATCCAACCCGCTGGGAGTGGGGGGGAGGGAAGATGGGCCGGCTGCCAAGCGTTCTTTCAGCACAGATTCCGAAAGAAGATCCTGCGAAGTGTCGAAAGCCCAGATTTTCAGCAGTGCGCTTTCTGGACTGCTGCGTTACATAGCAACCACACCAGCCCACAGAGGGGACAGACCGAGTCACCGTTCTGTTGAAACGACACGCTGTCCCAAGTTTTCTTCATCAACCCACCTACTTACCGTCAGATGCCATCGCGGGAACAAAACATCCAGTGGCGGGTGGACGACTTTGTTTAATTCGCTTTTTAAAAAAAAATTTTAAAGAAAACATTTGAAGAGGTATCTAGCAATTTCTTGGCAGAGAGAGAGAGCAAAAGGTAACTCTTCCCGCGTGACCATTTGTGCTAATATTATTAAAAGCACATTAGGATTCATTGAGTATGTGCATAATGCCCTTTAGTTAAAAGACTGGCTCACACAGTTGCATTTTGAAAGATACTCTTTTCATTCAGGAACCCGGATTTGCAGAGTGATAACTCAATAGCCCTAAACACTCCTCCTCCGCTGTGGGCCCACGGAGTGGCGCCGACACACTGAGTTTAAGCAGAAGACGAATTCGGAAGAACAGTCAGGAACCCCCAGCAGCTGAGCTTTGGGGAGCCTTCCTGGGGGTGTACCATGGAGATGCAGGAGGACACCTATCAGCCACAGGGGACCATGAACTTCAGGGAAGCCACCACTCTCCTGTAGGAATACGGACGCACTAGCAGAAGAAGCCAGCAGGCCACCTCTGCGGAGTGTTTGTGCTCCGGCAGAATGCTGAGCAAAGGTCATGAGAAAAAACCCAGACAACGCAAACTCACAGAGGTTAAATCACGGGGACAGGACCGGACGGATGTCCTGTGGCCGTAAATGAGTAAATGACGCCCCACTAGGTTTAGAGTGAGGAGGCTGGTCTTTTCAACCATCACATCTGTTTACATTCACATGCCATCAGTTGAGAGGGATAGATGGCCAAGAATTAAGTTGAGTTAAAATTTTACCGTTTTATTTTCCGACTGTTAAATCGCTACCTGCCCCCTAGGAAAGGTGTTGCAAAATACCAGTGGTCCACAGAGGGGAAATCGAAGACCGGCCCTTTACCCAGCCACCCACGGACAGCCACGGACACGGCGGGCCACTAAGAGCAGGAGGGAGCTGCTGGTTTTTGCATGTTTTTAAGAATCGCAGGAGATCCTGGCTTTCGCCAAGTCCATTTCCAGAGCCTCGTGTGCTTTTTTGTAGGAAAAGAGAAAAGAAAACAGCCCCCCGTGGCTTCGCATCCACAATCTAACCACGGGCTAAGCATCGTGCAGCTCCCAGATTGAGTGTGGAGATCCCGGCTGCCGACCTCCTTAGCATGCTCCGCGTGCGGCTAGACCAGGGCTCGGATACGAGCTGCGTAACTTTTCCTCGGCCGGGGAAAGGGGCAGGCGGCGGGCAAGAGGCCAGCATTGTTCAGGCCCCTTCGCCATGGCCCTTGATTCTTAGCAAAATGCCAGTTCTTGGCTATTTCTGAACGTTGGAAGAGTTCCTGCCCATAAAGAGTAGAGAGCATGTGCCCTGCTCCCCCTCCGGCTCCCCAGGTACCACCACCAGACCGTCTTCCGCACACGACACAGCCAGGGATAAATGACGGGGTAAGCGGGCTACTACCGTGCAGCCCACACCAGGCTCGCGACACCTTCCCGGCATGACGTCATGGCTACTTCGGCTCCAGATGACAGCCCCCGTTCCCAGGACTTCGGACAGACTCCTGAAGTGCCAAGTGAGGATCAGACTTGCAATTCAACACAGAACGGCTCCTGTTCAGGCTTCGCATCTCACCCCCCAAAAGGCACACCCTCCCCAGGAGCGGAAACTGACCGAGAGCCGGCGGCAATATGAAAACAGCTTCTCCGCACTTAGGAGAAGCCCTGGAGATCACAACAAACCCAGAAACTCGTCACTTAGGAGTCCCTGAGCCCTGGGTACCTCATACTCCACCAAGGGACATATGTATACAAGTGACCCTCCTGGACTGGATTTTTTTTCCTTGTTGTGTTCTGGATTTCAGCAGGTTAGTTGACAATTCAAATGCTATTAATAACCAGGGGCACCCGGTTTCTTAAAGGGCAATTAGGCAAGGAAAGGAAAAAAAAAAAAAGAAGGCAAAAAAGCCTGAAAAGCCAGCTTTGCCCGTTTCACTTTTCAGCTCACAGAACACAAACAGTCCAGGTCTCCGGCTGCTGCCTCCCGCACCGTCAACCCTGGTGGGGGGGCTTCCAAGCCCCATCACCATCCATGTCAACACAGACCAGCTGTCTTTCTTCCTCCCCAACTGCCCAGAGTGCCCTCCAGCAGCCGCTTTCCGCTGCCCACAATCAAAGCCGTCACTCTGACCCTAGCCCATCCCTCAGCCTTTGAGATCTAAGCTTTCCCCCTGCAAAGTGCTCTGGGGGGGTTATATTTGCTGGGAATTTAAACTCCCTGCTGGGCAAGGGGCACCTACTGTTGCGTCGCTAGGTTCTACCGCCTGCGGGATCCGATGGGGGCGGGGGGCAGGGAATAAAGTCCAGATGCAATCGAGACGGAGGGTTTGGCATCCGTGGAGAAAAGTGCAAAGCGGCCCAATCCCCTGCCCCAAACACAGCGGCAGAGCCTGGAGCTCGCTCTCAGGGCAGCAGTCACTCCAAAGGAAGCAGGCTCCGGAAGCCGGGGGGAGCTGTGGCATTCGCCCCTGCCTGGGGTGGGGGGCAAAGGCCCGGGCATGAAAAGTTTGCCCACGGAGCTGGGGGCTGTGTGCCATCTAAAGGGCACTTTCCGCCGCCGGAAGGGGCCCCGCGGCTGCGCCTCGCTCGCGCCGCCCAGGGCCGGTGTGACCGTGTGAACCGGTGCACACTGCGCCGGGCTTTTCCTTCAAGACAGCCGCCTGCAACTCCCAGCAGGGGAGCAGCGGTGGCCACAGCCGGACAGAAAGGGTTACGAGCCACAAAGCAGCGCGATTTCACCCCGGGCACGGGGGACGCCGAGCCTCCGGCCCCCTCCAGGCCCGAGTCCTGCTCAACTCGCCTCTCCTCCCCGCCAGGCGCCGGGCGATCCCTACCTTGCGCGCCGTGCTGGTGGTTCTCCATGTTCGCCGCCGCCGCTGAGTCTGCAGCCGCCGAGGCGCTGGCCGCCGCTCCCGGGCCCGGGCCGGGGCCGGGGCCGCCACCTCCGCTCAGTTCCGCCAGTCTCCGGTTGGTGGCCGTGAGTTCAGCTCGCAGGTTGGTCACCTCCTGGCTGGCCGACTGGACCGCCCCATCGATGCGGAGCGCGAGCTGCTTATTGTCTTCCATCATGCTCAGGATTTTGGCCTGGGGGCGAGAGAGGTGACAAAGAGCTGCATGATGCGCGGGGGGGTGCGCGGCCGGGCACTCCGGCTCTACCTGTTGGGTCCCCCGCGGCCCGGCTCCCTCGCGCCCCGACCCCCGGGCACCGGCAGTGCCGGCTCCTCGGGCGCAGGAATGACAGCGGCGCCTCCAGCCGGAGTCGTGGCGGTAGCCAGGCGCTGGGGGAGGAGGAGGAGGGGAGAGAGGAGGAGGAGAAAGAGGAGGAGAAGGAGGAGGAGGAGGAGGAGCAGCGATCGCCGAGACCCCAGCGCCGAGAGCGCTCGCAGAAGGACACCGCGCGCCGCCCGGCACTCTTTCAATGGAGCCTACCATTCGGCGCGTGCTCGGGAGGGGGCCTGGCCGGGCCGCCGTGGCTCACCCTCGGCCTCTCGCTCCCCCCACTTGGGGGACACACCCCCAGGGCGCGGGGGCGGCAGGAGGAGGCTTGAAGTGGGCTGAAGTGGCGCCCCCCGCGAGGGGTGGGGAGCGCCTGGGCCAAGGCCGGCCTTTGATCCCCTCCCGTGAGCGGTGGGGCGGCCCCCGCCCTGGCGAACTCGCGCCCGGAGCCTTGCTAGGGCTGGGGAGGAGGTGGGTGCTTGGGAGAGAGGGGTGCTTGGAAAAGGGGCCCCGGAGGGGAGTGGGGAGGGAGCTCCGCGGGTGGGGGCAGCCTGCCCGAGCTTGGAGTGCAGTTCTGGCCTGCGGGTTCCTTAAAATGCGGGGAGGAAATTGCAGCGGGGAGCTGGGCGGGTGCCCCGCGTGCCTTACTCTCCACCCCCTCCCACCCCACCTTTGCCGCCCCACCCCGCGCTGTCCTCCCCTCCCGGAGCGGAGCGCTCGGCCCTTCCCCAGAGTGGACCACTCGCGCCCTGGCCTCCCCTGGTACCTGAAACCCAGCGTGCGCGCCCGGTGTGGAAGGGTGGCCTCAGCTAGGTCCCAGGCTTCTTAGCTGGGGTGGGGTCGAGAGGGATGAGGCCAGGAGAGAAAGCTGAAAGGCGTCTGCAGGGCTTCCCCTTTCCTCCTCCTACTGGGAGCGGGAGCTGGAAGCCCAGTTGCCTCAGCTTACCCACTCTCTTCACGGGAGACCTGAGGTAACCTTAAAGTTGATAAACCCATCCAGCGCCTCTGTCTCCCAGAGCACAGGCTTTGCATTTTTCACTGGGGCCCTGGATTCCAGCCACCAGACCTTGTTACCATAGCAAGCTTCATTCCATGCAAATAGGACAGTTTAAAGCAGCCAATGTAACCCGTGCACCGCCATTCCAGCCGGTCAGCCGGGGAGAGCGGCTCAGAGCCCACGGCAGAGGCCCTTGGTGTGCTCTTGCAGAGACCTGGGGTGGCCCACCCTTGAGATTCAAGAGCATTTATCGGAAGCCTACTGTGTGCAAAGTGCTCAGCGGGCGTTACCTCTCTCTGGAGGAAGGATTATTATTCCCATTTTAGAGATGAGAAGGCTGAGGCTGTGGCAGGTGTAAGCCATTTACCCAAGGCGCCCCCCCAGAAATCAGGACTGGGAGCGAGTGGTCACCTGATCCTGAGTTCGTGCCATTCCGCCTTCAGGAGGCAGTGGATGCTGCTGGGTAGTTTCCTTCCTGCTTCATAGGGAACCGTAAACATACACTTTTGCTCCATCCGCTGTGATCCCTAAAAAGCTTTTGCAAGAGAACAGAGCAGTGTCCGGTGGCAGCGCAGTGTTCACTCAGTCCACTCCGCTCAGCTGACAACTGGTCAGCTGGAGAATGACCCTGACCTTAGCCTCCCTGGCATGAGTTCTGACCCACTGGGCCGACACAGGCACTTAGACTGCTGGGGGTATTTGTAAGTCAGGACTCAGTTCTTTGAAGCTCTTCAGTGAAGTCATGGAGGGGCATTGAAATGATTGCTGTGTGGGTCTTTATAAGGGCGGGGCGGGGGGGGGGGGAGGGCATGGTGCAGCCTCAATGGGAAACAGCCTGCTGGTTCCCCAGAAAGTTAAATGTAGAATTACCATATGACCCAGCAATTCCACTCCTCGGTGTCTGCACCAGAGAGCTGAAAACATATTCAGACAAAAATGTGTATACAACCATTCACAAAGGCACCATTCACAATAGCCAGAAGGTGGAAACAACTCCAATGTCCATCAACAAAAAAATGGATAAACAAATTGTGGTTGAGCCACACAACGGAATATTAATCAACCGTGAAAAGGAACGTAAAAAGCACTGATACGTTACAACGTGGATAAACCTTGAGAACATTATGCTCAGTGAAAGGAGCCGGACACAGAAGGTCCCGTGGTACAGCATTCCGTTTATGGGAACTCTCCAGAGAAGTTAAATCCATGGGTTCAGAAGGCAGATTCGTGTCTGCCAGGGGCGAGGGGGAGCAGAGAGTGGGGAGCGACTGCTTCGGGGTACCCGGCTTTATTGTGGGGTGCTGAGAATGTTTCGGAAGCAGGTTATGGTTGCACAACGGTTCCCTTACTGTTCCCTGAATTGCACCTCAATAAAAAGTCAGCATATATGCAAATGCAAAAAAAAAAAAAAAATAGAGGCTGTCCTGGGAACAAGCCTGAGAAAACAGCTAAGAGCAGCTCCATTTGGAGAGCTCCCTCTATGCGTGTGTGCATGTTCGTGCACATGCGTGTGTGTGAGACGCGCACACCTCTGTTACAGCCCCCCTCAGAAGGCGCTGCGGTTTGTCTGTTTACATGTCTCTCTCCCACTTACTTCACCGGGAGCGTCTGCGTGGGAGAAGGAGAGTGGCCAGTGTCCGCGTCACTTATCCCTGCCTCCTCGCCATCGAGCCCAGAGTCGGCATTCTGCAGACCAAGGTGTGCGAGCGTGTTCGTGCCGTAAACAAACTCACCAAGGATTACTCACTGCCTCTTCCGCGAGATGATTCTCCCACATCAGCATTTTAAAATCAAGGCAAAACAAAATACCCAATAAGGGAAAGAGAAAGCCAAGATCCATTTTTCGGGCCCCTTCTCGTCTCTCCGCCTCCTCGTCCCCAGCTGTGTGCAGCCATGGAGCTTTCCGGAAACTCACTTTAGAAACTGCTGGGGTACTTCCTGGGGTTTTAAAGAATTTTATTTTTTGAGATTTGTTTAGAAAAGATTTTATTCACTTATTTTTAGAGAGAGGGGAAGGGAGGGAGAGAAACATCAATGTGTGATTGCCTCTCACATGCCCCCTACTGGGGACCTGGCCCTCAACCCAGGCATGTGCCCTGACTGGGAATCGAACCAGTGACTCTTTGGTTCTCAGCCCATGCTCAATCTACTGAGCCACACCAGCCAGGGCTGGGATTTCTTTTTTCTTAACACAAAAAAGGGGCTTTTTCCCAGTTGTGTCTCCTTATGTTCACCCCTACACAAGGGGTCAGATCTTGAAGGGAATCAATTAACCTCTAGAATCTACTTGATTTAACCCCCAAAGTTTTCTAGTCTACCTTTCTTCCCCCCAAACTTCCATCCCAGGTGATCTCAGGTAACAAACTAGTCAGGGTTTGCAAGCCCCCGCGCCTACGTGAAGGCTAATACACACACACGACTCATTTCTTGGGAGACACAGGCAAACTGCCGGGGGCGGGGCCCCAGAGCTGTCCGTCATCCGTAGCTCTCTCTCTCTCAGGGGCCACAATTGTGAGAATTCGGCAGCGCTGTGCCTTCCATTTCAGGCTACGACCTTCTTCATGTTCCTGCAGTAGCCCCTGCCTCACCTCTCAGTAAGCCGACGCTGAGAACCAAGCCAGAAAACGGGGTCACTTCCTAGGGGCTGGCTGCCACTGCCCCAGTGTCCCTAGTTGTCATCCGCCCCTAGCAGCCACATGCCATCCAAGGCCCAGACAAGGGCCCTGGTCCTCACGCGGCCACCAGCCCCCACCAGTGCTTGCTGCGTGCCCCATCTTCCTTTCTGAGCAGAAGGAGCAGGCGGTGCCGGGAGTGCGTGGCGCCTGTCAGAGCTTGTCTGGGCACTTCGGAACGTGCAAAGCCATCCTTGTCAGCGAAAGGAGACCCTAATGAGAAAGGACCAAGGCCAAGAGCCTGACCCGTGGCTGACGGCGACGCCACACGCACGCCCCTCCTCCCGTACATACGGTGGCCTTACCATGGAATGTCCAAACCGGGACACTTTTGAAAGGGAGGGAAGGTGCTGTGAACTGTGAAGCTGAGCCAAGCGGCATACGTTGGAGCTGTCACAGGAAACCCCACATACATGGTTGTCCCATCCCACGACCAAGTGAGGCGGTTTGGTCCTATGAAGCAACATTGGGACCCCTTCCTCCTGTGCCCTCACTGGATACCGATGGAGAAACAGAGGCTGGGAGACAGGAAGGAACCCGGCAGCCATGCTGGTAAAGGAGGCGGGCAAGGTGGAAACCCCAGTTTTCAGAAAATGGCCCAGCATGGACATGCGTCCAGCAGAACGGACGGTCAGGCTCTCGCCAGCCCACTGGTGCATGTGGCACCCCCCAAGTTCTAGAGGGAGAGGAGCGAGCCCACGGTCTGGTACAGCCTGGCCTCCGACTTCATCTTGCACCACACTCCCCAGCTCACTAGACCCTTGTCCCTGAATTCTTTCCGACCTCGGGGGCTTGGCTGTCCCCCTTACCTCTGCCTGGAATAATCTCCCTGGCTCTCTCTGCATCTGTTTCCTTCTTATCTCTCAGATTTCGCATTCAACATCTCCTTATTTCATAGCACGTATTGCCATCGACTGTTTGTATATGTAAGCTCTAGGCTGAGAACTTGAGAGGTAAGTCGCCATACGTTTGGCTCACGGGGGTGAAGGTTTTCAAACCCCCTGATCTGGAGGTCCCCACGGCCGTCCTGCTTACTCTGCTTTGTCTTGAAGTCCACGGAATGCAAAAGAAATCAATGGCCGTTCCTGGAGCTAACATGATGGTTTCTGTCCCATGCAACCCAATGCTCAGGCTGAGACTGCACCCCTCCCCCGACCACTACCACATGCTCCCACCTAGCTGCTCTGCGAGCCTGCTGA